AATTAATCTCGATGCATGTTTCTGATGTATGTAGAGTGAATTTAATTTAGTTTTATAGGTACTTCCCCATGCAATATAAGCGTATATTAGGTAACTTTGAATATAAGAAAAGAAGAGAATTTTTAAGTTGTCTTGGGAAAGCATAGGTTTGGCTTTGTAGAGTACGCCGATGCTTTTTGATATTTTTGTGTTTATTATATTAATATGGGCTTTCCAATTAATATTCTGGTCAATAATTATTCCAAGAAACTTAGTTATTTCAGTTCTTTTGATGTTTATGTTATCAATTTTTAGTGAAGGTAGAGTGTCTGGTATAAAGTTTTTAAGACGGTTGGAGTGAAACAAGATATATTTTGTTTTATCTGTATTCAAAGATAATTTATTAAATTTAAACCAGATTTTGAGGTTTTTGAGATCAGTGTTCATAGATTCGTAAAAGTCGCTTATAGACGGCGATGAGTAAAATAAATTTGTATCATCAGCGAACATTATTACATCAAGTTTTTTTAGGGTTTTTGGAAGATCGTTGATATATATTAGAAATAAAAGGGGACCCAGAATGGAACCTTGGGGAACTCCGCATTTTATTTCTAGTAGGTCTGAATATTTATTATGATCTGTAACAACGCATTGTTTTCTGCTACTCAGGTAACTTTTGAACCAGTCAAGGGATAAATGTTTTTTATATTTCTAAAATTGAACTTTTAAAAATATGATTGCAGACATCTGCAAGTTTCTTTTTGTTGAAAATTTTAACTGTTCAATATATTTAATGCTCGTATTCATTTTTTTATTGTAGTACAAACTTGCTAAGTAATAAATACACATGTTTTTATATATTTCGTTTACTTTTCTGAAATTTTTGTTCTTATCAATTAAGTTTTATTTTAGTAATAGCTTTTGTTTACACACATACAAAAAAAACTATCAATTAGTTATTATTATGTAGCGCTTATTTCTTCACTAAAATCAGTTACAAACTGCTTTGTGTTTTTACATTTTTTAAAACAAAAATTAAAAAACTATAATGAGGAGATTACCCTAAACAACACAATCGTAGAACCATGGACAAAAAACCTCTTTGACATATATACATTTAAATACCCCTTTTTTTTTAGCTAAAAATGGTAGAATCAAAAATGACTTAATCATTTATTAATGAAAATTTAAGTCAAATTTAACTAATTTAGTTTTTTACAGCTAGAAAACTTATTTTTAAACTTATGAGAAAAAATATTATTTTAAGTTAATATTGTTATAATAATATTTTTTTATTAGTTAAGATGTTATTTTATTAATATAGGTACGTGTGTAAAAATTTTAAATTATTTTTATATATAAATATTATATATCATTAAAAAGAGCTTTAAATTAGTAATACAATGGTGAAAATTTCATAAAAAACGAAAAATTCTACAAAATTTATTGCCCTTTTAAGGTGGTTTACCACGAAATAAAATGATATTTTTGAAATTTTTCAACTTCTTAGTTTAGATTGTTGTAGAACAATTTTTTACCACTGAATTCATTTCTGAAATTTTTTTAAAAAAATAATAAATATAAAAGGATAAAGTGAGGTGGTCAAACATATTCTCATAGCAACCACCGATAGCAACACACTTTTCTCTCTTGTTTTGGATTTTGGACAACTATAAACCAAATGGTAAACTACCTATATGGATCCATGATATTATATTAAGTGATTTCAACGATTTAAGCGATAACCGATTATTGGAAAAATTGCAATGAAGGAATCAATAATATAATTTGGTCTAAGTGTTCGAAAAATGTATTTGTAAAGAAAGGTACCCTATAAATTGGAATTAATTCAGCTAAATTGAGTTTTAATGAAAGAACATCTGGTCCTAAACGTGTTTTTGAATATCTTAATATAGTACACAGTGGTAAAACAGTAGTCGGTTTATTGAAAAAGGACAGTCGTCGTGTTAATAATATAGAGAAAAAAGAAAAAACTATCAATAAAAAAGAAGAATTCAATTAAAAGGTTTTTCTAAAGGTTGGTTTGATAAAGAACAAGAACTTGAAGCTAAAAAATTGTATGCTTCTGGAAGTTTTTAGATTGTTTTTTATTTTTTTATTTTTAAAATGTTATTTTCTTAATTTGTCATTTTTCACGATTTAAGTTTATGGGGAACAAGATAATTCAAGATTGATTTAAGATACGACGCTGAAATTTTCAGCATTTGCAGTAATCGCTTAAATCTAGAGAATGAACTAAAATCAAGGCATATGGTGCTATATTTACAGTGCTATTGTTCGTTGTTTATAATATTTTCATGCATAGCCCCTGAAAAGTACTAATAGTGATAGTAAAATTGAAATATTGACCTTTTTACTCATGAAAATAGCTTTATTTTAGTTCACTCCCTAGATAATATTATCAAGAAAACTTGTACAAAGTTTTATGAGAAAAAGATATTTTATCGTTCAGTTTTCTTGTTTCACCTGTGTGTACAGTTTTAGGCCTTTTTTGGATAAAATTTGATGTTTTAAAAAAAAAAATCAAAACTTTAATTTGACAAAAAAGATTTATATCGTGTAAACCTTAACGGAATATTTCCCGATATTCATAATTGCTGAATGCGTAACTCATAATAATACTCCCCTTAAAATGTCAATATTCGTGAAAAAAATTAATGGAAGGTTGATATGCCATTTTTAAACTTTATTAAACAAAAACGTTGATTGGAATCGTATATAACAATCGCACGAAATAAATAATATTTATGATTTATTTTTGAATCAATTTTGTAAATTCTATAATAACCCAGCAAACAATGCACGAACAAAAAAAACGACAATCTACGTTCAGTTTACGTTCTGAACGTCCTAGACCTTTTTGGAACCTTAGTTTTTTTTTTGGTCAGCGTGGAACGTTCAAAAGCCGTCTGAATTACATTCGGAAGTGTGCTTTTTTATAATAAAAACAGATCAAACAAAAATGTAAACTAAAATTAATCTTATTTTATTAGTATTGATCAAAAAGTTTATTTTGATGGTTAGCTTTTAGTAATTTTTTTGGTAGTTGTCAAATGCGTGCGCCATTTTTTATTTAATCTCAAAATAACATTGAAATCTAAACAATAATAACTAATGGTTTCATAAAGGGTTATTAAATTGTAAACTATTATTTTAATCATTATTACATTAATAGATTATTTCTTAGATTTTTTTAAAAATTTGACTTATGTTTAGTTTAATTATATATGAAATAATAAATCAAACAAAAAAAACTTAGTGTAAGTCTTAAACTGTATTTATTTTATAATATAGATAATTATATCAAAAACTCAATTAATAGCATATGATAAAACTATAAATACAATCTAAATGAACTAAAAATTAAAGTTTTTTGCCCAAAACTTGTAAAAGGTATAAATAAACAATATTTCAAAGTAATAATTACTTTTAATCAACAATATTGTTTGATTCGTTTCTTTTAAAAAGATTTTTCATAGTAAAATATGCATTATATTTACAATATATACTATCATTGTATATACAATGACAATATATATTGTATACGCGAAGACAAAAAGTGTTATATAACTTTTGTTGTTAAGTTATGTTATACAAGACAATAATATTGTTATTGTAAAATCTATGACAATAAAAAATGTACGACTTAATAATAAGAAAAAGCATGGCAATAGAATAGCATCTATTCAATTTTTATATCTTAAATGTATATTTTTTAATTTGTTTGATTGATTGTTGTTATATTTAATGACACTTTCTTTTTTCTTTTTGGTGGTTTTTGTTTTTCTTATATATATATATATATATATATATATATATATATATATATATATATATATATATATATATCTATATATATATATATATATATATATATATATATATATATATATATATATATATATATATATATATATATATATATATATATATATATATATATATACATATATATATATATATATATATATATATATATATATATATATATATATATATATATATATATATATATATATATATATATATATATATATATATATATATATATATATATATATATATATATATATATATATATATATATATATATATATATATATATATATATATATATATATATATAGATATATATATATAATATAAATATAAAAATAAATATATATATATATATATATATATATATATATATATATATATATATATATATATATATATATAGATATATATATAATATAAATATAAATATAAATATATATATATATATATATATATATATACAGGGACTACTTAAAGTCCGGGACGCACGGCATTGAATCGATGTGAAATCGACGAGAGGGTTGACTTTAGCGCCTTCAATATACCAACATGTAATGTTAATAGCTTAAATAAAAGAGTGGTATTTAAAGATTATTGATAAGCTGCAACAAATTTTGATTCATATAGATTATATAATGTATTAACTTTAATTAATTTATTTTTTTAAGTCTTTTTATAGTACTTTTAAAGTAGTAAAAGTATTTTTATTAAGATGTTTATATGATGATTGTATTGCAATAATAAATACTACTTTAATATTTTGTGACTACTTAAATATTTATGACTATTACTTACTTATTATATTATGAATATTACTTACTTAATTACTTAATTATTATATTTATGAGTATTACTTGCTTAATTATTTATGACTACTTAAATATTTTATGATAAAAAATGAAAAACAGTAACATACTATTACAGTACGAAGATTTTATTTGATTTTGACTATAATTACGTTTTGATGCAAATCAAGTCTTCAAACTGTTACTAACAGTTTAAGGGGTACTTGAGTTACTTTACACTAAAGTAACTTGAGTTACTTTAGACTAAAGTAACTTTTTTAGTACTAAATAAAGTTGAGTACAAAAAAACATAAGAATGTTAAGTTATTATTGTACTAAACTAAACCTATTTTTAGGTTATAATATTTAAAAAATATTAATTTTGTTCTCTATTTAAAAATAAATTTATAAAACCATTACAGACATGCCTAGAAAATGCTCAGTAGGTAATTGTCGTGGAAATTATGACAGTGCAAATGAGCATGTAAAAGTTTACAAATTTCCAAGTGACAAAGAATTATGTGAAAGATGGTTAGCAGCTTTACCAAATAAAATTCAATCACCAACAGACAAAATGGGTGTTTGTGAAAAGCACTGGCCTTTGGGGTGTAGTATGCACTATCCAAAAAGATCTAAATATCAGGTGAGTCGAATTCATATATATAAACAAAAATTTCAAATCAATGTTGTAGTTATACTTGTAAGCTTTATTTAGTTCAAATTAAATAGATAATCTAAAATCAATGGAAACTTTTTAGATTCCATCAGATCCTCCTTCACTATTTCCTGGGTGTTTTCCTTCAATGTTACGACAAACAGGCAAAACATTCCGTCAAACAAAGTTTGAAAAAATTTCAATTGAATCAAGAAACTCATTCTGTGATGAACTCGATTCTTTCAACAAGATTGATAAAATAAAAATTTTTGAAGTCAAACAGTTTCTTACAGATGTAAAGCAGCGGTAAGAAATTCTAATTAAATTTAGTTCTAATTAAATTTAGTTTTTGTAGGATTTTTTTGTGTTAGTATTACTAATAAATAATTCTTTTAAATATTTCAATTATTTTGTTGTTACAAATGCATTGGATCTGACTGTTTTTAATATGACATTTTCGCGTCCACCAGAAACTAATATTTCTGTTACAATCAATACTCACACTCAACAGTTACATGCTTATATCAAACACACACAAATTCATTGCAATTATATTTTGGGGTTTTCTCACAAACTCACTCGGTGGTCGCAGTTAGAAGCAATTATTTCAAGAATGAAGTCATCTAAACCTGAATTAAGCGAGGAACTAAAACATTTATTGCAAGAGATTGAATGTACATATGGAGAAAAATCTGATGAAATAAATTTTTTGATTGAACAACTACAACTGCAGATGATGCCTGTGAGAGGCAAGCGTTACTCTACGCTAGTTGTACGACGAGCTTTAGAACTATACCTTTCTTCAAGATGCTGTTATCGAATTCTTTGAGATACACTTTCACTCCCACATCCAAGAACTCTTAAACTAAAATTAGGCAGAATCGGTGAAGTAGGAACACAAAAGGAATGTGAAGAATGTGTTAAAATCGTGTTTGAAACATTAACTATTTCGGAAAAACGTTGCTGCCTGCTATTTGATGAAATGTATGTGAAACCAAGTATACGTTTTCGTGGATGTCATTTAATTGGTTATAGTGAAGACAATCCTGCTGAAATTGCCAAGACAATTCTTTGTTTTATGATTAAGCCAATGTTTGGAAAACCAGCTTTTGTGTGTCGTATGGCCCCAGTTTATAAGCTATCTGGCATTTTTGTACAAAATTTAATTGTTGAGATCACACAGACAGTTGCTAAACTTGGTGGAGAAATTTTATTCCTTATTTCAGACAATCTTCCCACAAATCGTAGCATATATCAATTTTTTGCTTTAAGTTTAAATGAGCCATGGCTTGGTAATATTTGCAAGCAAAGTATAATAATGCTTCATGATCCAGTGCACTTGTTTAAATCAATTCGAAATAACTGGCTTACAGAAAAAACTGGAACAATTCATCTGACACTAAATAGTCAATTATTTAAAGGGTATTGGAAAGATTTGGTAAGTTTATATGAAAAAGAAAAAAATAATGTTATCAAGTTGACAAATCTTTCATACAAAGCTATTCATCCAGGTGTAATTGATCGACAAAATGTCACCCATATGTGTGCTGTTGTTAATGAGAAGACTGTAGCAGCCCTTAAAATTTGTGATTTTAAAGAGACAAGCGAGTTCCTTGAAAGAATATTATTGATATGGAATTACCTTAATATTAAACAAGAAGGTATGGACATACGTTTAATTGATCCAAATAGAGCTTCATACAAAAATGTAAATGATAAACGACTTCAAGAGATTTTGACATTTGCTGAAGCTGTTGCAAAAATGCCAGGAGGAAAGGGCTGGAAGCGGAACAAATCATTCACTAGTGAAACGAAAATTTCTTTGTCGAATATGCTTTACGGAATTGTAGATTTAATCTGAAAATTGCTGAATGAAGATCATCAATATGTTCTTCCCGGAATATTTCAGACAGATCGGTTAGAAGGAGAATTTGGAATATACAGGTAGTTAAATAATTCCTTACCTATTTATGATCAGATTGATATTGTTGTTATTACATTTAAGAAGGGTCAGACTGGCACTGAAAGGCCCGGGGGCAAAAATAAATTAAATCCTTAATCACATATTTTTTTGGTTATAAGTAGAAATAACTTTTATTTAGAAATAACTGGTATTTTGTAACATCAAAAATGATATTTCATAGAAATAACTATTTTTATGTATTTTTTATGTATTTTATTAAATTTTTATGTATTTTTTTGTGGCAGGGGCTCTGAGGTAAATCCCTCCCAACCCCCCTTACCACTCTGACCCTACATTTAAGAACACTAATTTTCGTATGTATCTTTAAATAAAATTCAAATTATATATAGTTTAGATTTTTTTTATGCCAGGCAACTTTGTGGAGGCAGTTATCATGTTTCGGTTGAAGAAGTTAAAAATAGTCTTCGTTTACAACGCCTGAAGTTGTTTAGTAAATTGGATGCTATGGGTGTACCTATTTCTCAATGCTCAATTATTCAATCAGAGTGTTGTCAATTAGATCTGAATGAGGATGACATTAGTTATCTTGATACATCTGTCTCTTCAATCGATGCAATTTCCGAAGAAGAAAATGCTGCCCTATATTACATTTCGGGTTATGTCCAGCATAAATTTTTACCAAGTATATCCGTATCTGGTACCTTTGTTACCAATGCATCTGAGTTTACTGAGTTAGTATCTCGTGGTCGACTATGTCACCCTACTGAGGATCTATTTCAATAAGTCAGATATGCGTATTCTCTTTTTATTTTACTACTTAATGCAGAGATGCGGTTCCAGTGCGTTAGATACATTTCTAAACTTTTTATATATTTCTATACAGCTTTACCTTTTGATTTACAAGCATTACGAGTCAACACAGTTGTTTCCACCATTTTGAATTGTTTTTTCATGGGTCTAACAAAATTGAATGAATCGTCAGACAAAGTTTCTTTAAATATTGAAGACCGCAAAGTTAAAAAGTTTTGCAAATAAATCAAACAACACGCAATATGTGGTTAAAATGGTTATTTTTTAAAATTGTTAACATTGTTTTAACACAGAAGTTATATATATATATATATATATATATATATATATATATATATATATATATATATATATATATATATATATATATATATATATATATATATATATATATATATATATATATATATATATATATATATATATATATATATATATATATATATATTAGTTGCACAACAACAACAACGACAACAACAAGATATTTATTTTCCTTTTCAAATTTTACAAATAATCATATAATAACAATAATAATATTTTTTCTAATAAAACAAACAATATAACTATAATAAAATATAACAAATAAGAATAAATATAAACAATCATTTGAAAAAAAAAGGTGTCACTCAAACAGAAGCCTGATCAAAGAAGTGACACCAAATAATTATAACAATAATAATTAAAAATAATAATATTATCTATAATAATACAAAAAATATAATTATATTAAAATATAACTAATAAAAATAAATATAAGTAACTATTTGAAAAGGAAGGTGTCACTCAAACAGAAGCCTGATCAAAGGAGTGACACCAAATAATTATAACAATAATAATTAAAAATAATAATACTATCTTTAATAATACAAAAAATATAAATATAATAAAATATAACTAATAAAATTAAACATAAATAATTTTTTAAAAAGGAAGGTGTTACTCAAACAAAAGCCTAATCAAAGGAGTGACACCAAATAATTATAACAATAATAATTAAAAATAATAATATTATCTATAATAATACAAATAATATGATTAAATGAGTGTCACTCATGATCAAAAATAGTGATACCAATTACTTATAACATTTAGTATAATAATAAAATAATAATAAAAATAACAAGTATGAACCGAAAGTCGTTAAGAAAATAAATAAAATAATAACAACAAAAATACTAAAATAAGTTGAATAATAAGGCAAAAAATATGAAAAAACTTAATAACAACAGCAAACAAAAATAAAAATAATTAGCAAAACAGAACAAATAAAAAACAAACCTAACACAAACGAAAAACAAAACACAAAAACTACAAGAAAAAACACAAAAACTACAAAACAAAAAGACAAATACAAATACTTCTACAAAACAAAATTAAATTAAAAAATAAGGATAAACTTTAGTTATTAGCACAAATTGATTTAACACAGTCTGGACATCTTTTATTGGTACAATATTGTTAACAACATATAGCCAACATTGAAATACTTATTCCGTTTTTAAGTAAAAAAAAAGTTTATCTACACAATAAGTCAATTAAATATATGTACACAACAAGTCACAGAACTATGCATTGTTAAACCTTATTGCCATTCGTGTTTGTGTATAATAACCAGTAGGATTATCTTTTTTTAAATATGGTTCACCACTGGTTAACCCAATATAAATGTCACTATCACTTAGACATTCCTAGATAATTTTTTTTGTTTCAGGCATTTAATTTTAATTATATCGTAATAACATTCAGCTTCTTAATCAAATGCGAAACCATCAAGAGTTGTAGATAATAAAAATAAATTAGGTTGTGTTAGAAATCTAGATTTCTTAACTGAATTGTTTTGAATTATTATCTTTATTAAAACAATATCTTTAATTTATTTCTATTGAGCATTTGTTTCATAGGTATAACCATGGCTTAACAATACTTGAAAGAGTTTTAGCAAATTTTAGCAAAAAAAAGTTTTTTTTTGGTTTATTAAATGCTGATCAAAAGTTTCAAATTTTCTTTTGCGAATATAAATTTTGCAAAAAGTACTTAAAGTTAAAAGGTATGTTTTTAGATTAAAGCAAAATGGATTTTTCTTTAATGTTATTGTATCACCTTCATACTTTTTACGTTGTTCAGACGACACTTTTATAACGACAAAAAATCTTTTTGTTTTTTATTAGTTTCAAGTTGCTTGGAACGCGATTTCCATTGATTTTGTTAAAAAAGCTGAAGGAGAAGAGAAATAATTTTGGACACATTGAATGATTTTACAGGTAGTTTTTTAAATTCTGATGATAACTTCATAGGATTTATTTGTCTGAAGTTGATTATATAAAAGTTTAACAGAAAAACATTGAGTTATGTGCCGGGGGTGTGGAGTCGTAAAAAAAATAACGACTCCGACTCCGACTCCAGTTGTTGAAATTTTTTCTGTACAAGCAGTTGTAAAATTTCTAAATATTATTTCAATAAATCTGAAAATTTAGCAGTACTTTTATCTTTACTTTAAAAAGCAGCATTTTATATCTAAGTGCAGAATTTTTTTTTAAATCTTCTTCTTTATACTTTAATCGCCTTAGATCATATAAAGAAGTATAAACACCAGGCTTTAAATCAAGTTTGTGATAATAAAATTTTGTAAAATTTATAAATGAATTATTTAAAAAATTTTTTTAAGAAAAACTTTTCTTGCATTTTATAAGAAAAAAGAATTGTTATTTAGAGCTTTTGAATCTTTAAAAAAACAGGCTGATACAATTGAAGTAAGCAATGGATTATTTCACGTAAATAAAAAAGATTCCTTCAAAAATTTATGGAGTAATGATTTATTAAGGAATTTGAAAACATTAAATCTGAAAAGAACGAAAACAAAAATTAACTTCAAAAATAATTTTTTGTATTTAGTATTACATTTGTCATAAGTATTATTTATTATAAATAACGTTAATAAAAAAATAATGTTACAAATAACGCTATTAAAACGCTATTAAGTGTGCTAACGTTGATAACGCTTTAAAAATAGAGCAAAAAATTATTTAAAATTCTCAAAATTTATTATAAATTAAGACTAGATTAGGGCCTGTAATCATAGCGAAAATCCAAATTACTGAGTTCAATTCGGACATCATTTTTTGGCTTAATCGGGTCATCATTTTTTGGCTCAATTGCAAAACAAATATATGCAGACACGATAGAAATTGAAAATGAACACCATCCGAATATGTAAGACCATCTGTATTTATAAGCTCCATTTTTATTAGCTTCATTTGTATACACGCTCATTCCTATCGCCAAGAATATAGCTGTAACAAGTAATGTATCATAACAATAATGTATTATAAACAAAAAAAAGTAACTACTTTACCATCTAAAAACTCATCAATAATATTTTTAATGCTTGTTTAATTGCATTAATTCAGTATAACTACCCAGTGGGCACACGACGCTATTTCGACGTTGATTTACAGTTGATTTTTAGTCGCGACGTCGTATAACCAAAAATCAACGTTGTATCAACGTTGAAAAATTTGTTTAAAACTATCAAATAAAATCGACGTTGATTCCACGTTAATTCAACGTCTATATTACGAGTTCGATCGTTCGTAATTGCAATATGATAACTAAAATACGCATGCGTGACTTAAAATTTTTTTATTAACATAACAAATAACAAGTAAAGACTTAACAAGTTACTTATTAGCCCAATAAAAACAAGTAAAGTCACACATGCTAATAAATTAGGTCATCTGTTGCCTTTTTATAAGGTTTTGAATTTGACAATTTAACAATAATACATGGCTTAACTTGTGATGCAGTTAGTTAGGTAAATATTAAATGGATATTTCTTTATGACCGTATTATTTCATGAGTGTGGATTACAAGTAGAGACTACTTGATATATTATATAAATATAAAATATATATTATATATGTTTTTCTTATTTATATAATATATATATATATATATATATATATATATATATATATATATATATATATATATATATATATATATATATATATATATATATATATATATATATATATATATATATATATATTATATATGTATATTATATATATGTATATATATATATATATATATATATATATATATATATATATATATATGTATATATATATATATATATATATATATATATATATATATATATATATATATATATATATATATATATATATATATATATATATATATGTATATACATGTATATAATATGCATATATAATATATACATACACTATATATGTATATATACATACATAATATAAATATATATAATGGATGATGTTTTACAAAATAATGATTTATTAAGCTTTTTTACCAATCCATGTGATTTAAAGAGTTTAAATATTTTTTATATTAAAAAAATTTTATTAATTTTTTAAAGATTTTTCTTGTAAAGTTGTATAAAAAAGAATTTGTGAATGCTTCTTTAGTCCATAATATTGGTAGAAAGATCAACATAAAAATTTAGCAAATTTTAGCAACTGTATAATGTATCATAACGTACAGTTTATAGTTGTATTTTTCTGTTAGCTATTTTACATGAACAAATTTTTAATATATAAGTATTTTTTCTATTATAATTTCTACTATACTTTTCCAGTTGAAAAAGTATAGTAGGGCATGCAAAATGTTCATTCGAGCTGTTTGGATAGAAAATACAGAGAAATAAAGAGAGAAAATTCGATTGATAATTTTTTGTGCTGCTCGTCATCTTTAAATGTAATAAATTGTTTCAATGAAATGCATAAACCGCATCTAACTAATACAGATTTAAGCTGCTCAAAATTTAATGTCATGGAGATAATGTAATTTTTTTTTAATATAAACCTTAAGTCATTACTTTTTTTCCTTGTTTTTTTAACATGCTTTCATTCTGTATATGTTGTTACCAGTGTTTAGATATTTTCTTTATTATATATTCTTTATTACATAATGTATTTAAAACATTTTTAAATTGAATGAATATTCTTAGATCATGAGTTATGTAATAAATTTGAATTTGCCTCTATAAGTGATACTCAGATAGAATCAGGTTCAGAAAACAGTTACTATTTCAAAAGATACTTAATTCAAGTATTATTAGTTATATTTTGATATTAATTATTATAGGAGCCACTACCATGCTTATGCAAGAGAAAACATAATAACCAACAGAATAGTAAGCAAATACCTACTCCTGTAACGCAAAAAAAGAAACAGAAAACATTTTTTATGCATACTCCACATACTGTAGCTCAAGTTATTAATTGTCTGTCTGCAAGTTGATTTAGGAAGAAAAGATTCTGAACATTTTTTTCTATGCTTCAGTGATTTACACATTTTTTTGGTTGCTAAATTAATACATTTTATTTAATTTATGAATAATGTTTTATTTTATAAATTTTTTGTTCTTGTGTTTCAACACTTTTAGAAATTAATTAATGTTTGGTTCTTTTGTCTTTCTGATATATCTTTATTGTTAGAAAGAGATGTTAGTAAAAACTCTTTCTAGTAATTAAAGTAATATCATGACAAATAGTTCTGAAATTCTTATGGATAACAGTTTAAATGATTCTTGGGTGAGGTCAGAACTGATAGGTTGTTTCAAACCATGACTTTTTGCAGTTTTTTTTATTGTTTTTTGATTAAGTATTTATTAATAACTTAGCCTAAGTTAATCTACTTGTAACTTTTTATAAATGTACTATAAAAATAATGTGATGTAATTATTTTCTTAAACCTTTAGGTTAACAAACTTTCTAAAATTGGAGGTAAAACCATAAAGACAAATACAAATACATGTGATGCAAAGGTTTGTTAAAAGTAGTTTTAAATAAAAAATCTTTTGAATCTTTTTTATAGTTTGTTTTAAACTTGTGTTAAAAATCTGTGTAGCATATATTTTTAAAAGTTTGACGAATTCTAATCAGACATAAAATGAATCTTTTTTTTTTATGTCTGATTATAATTTTTTTTGTAACTGTTTTCTCTTACTTTTGTATTTCCTTGAGCTAAAGAACAACCTTAAAGTACAAAGGTTGATTTGTAACGCATACTTAACCTTTTTTTTTACTCTATATATACATACATATATATGTACATACATATATATGTATGTATATATACATACATGTGTGTATATAAACATACATGTATGTATATAAACATACATATATATGTATGTATATATACATACATGTGCTTATATGAATATATTATATATATATATATATATATATATATATATATATATATATATATATATATATATATATATATATATATAATATATTCATATAAGCACATGTATGTATATATACATACATATATATGTATGTTTATATACATACATGTATGTTTATATACACACATGTGTGTATATATACATACATATATATGTATGTACATATATATGTATGTATATATAGAGTAAAAAAAAAGGTTAAGTATGCGTTACAAATCAACCTTTGTACTTTAAGGTTGTTCTTTAGCTCAAGGAAATACAAAAGTAAGAGAAAACAGTTACAAAAAAAATTATAATCAGACATAAAAAAAAAAGATTCATTTTATGTCTGATTAGAATTCGTCAAACTTTTAAAAATATATGCTACACAGATTTTTAACACAAGTTTAAAACAAACTATAAAAAAGATTCAAAAGATTTTTTATTTAAAACTACTTTTAACAAACCTTTGCATCACATGTATTTGTATTTGTCTTTATGGTTTTACCTCCAATTTTAGAAAGTTTGTTAACCTAAAGGTTTAAGAAAATAATTACACCACATTATTTTTATAGTACATTTATAAAAAGTTACAAGTAGATTAACTTAGGCTAAGTTATTAATAAATACTTAATCAAAAAACAATAAAAAAAACTGCAAAAAGTCATGGTTTGAAACAACCTATCAGTTCTGACCTCACCCAAGAATCATTTAAACTGTTATCCATAAGAATTTCAGAGCTATTTGTCATGATATTACTTTAATTACTAGAAAGAGTTATATATATTATATATATATATATATATATATATATATATATATATATATATATATATATATATATATATATATATATATATATATATATATATATATATATATATATATATATATATATATATATATATATATATATATATATATATATATATATATATATATATATATATATATATATATATATATATATATATATATATATATATATAATATTAATAGTGCAATTTAAAGTTTTTTCTTTTATTTATAAAGTTGTACTTGATAAAAACAAATAAATAAAGATGAACATTTTGAATATTTATTGATTAATATGATAAATTATACAAAATACAGTCGTGTGACAATTTATTATAGCCACCCAGAATTTTTCAAAATTATCAAGTTTCAAAGTTTATTATTTTTGGTATTTTTTTGTGATTTATGTACTCAAAGTAACTTTTATTTAAGAAATGGGTATTTTTTTGACAAATAAAAACATTTAACATATTGTTTATTATTTTATTATTAAATAAATTTTATTATTCAAATTAAACAAATTTTATTATTCAAATATTACTGCAAATATATTCAAGATCAATATTTGGTGATTCCTCCTTTGCCTCTATAATTGCAGGAACCCTTTTTGGCATACTTTTAATGCATTTTTGAGCCATTTCCTTCAATTCTTTATTATAGTTCCAATATTGAATAATTCTTTCTATTAAATACACTTTATTTGTAATAATTTTTTCAGATATTTGCTTCTTTAGGAGCGCCCAAACATTTTCTATAGGATTTAGGTCAGAAGAGTTTCCTGACCAATCAAGTAATGGAATATTTTGTTCTGATAGATATTTTTTAACTGATTTAGCTGTGCGACATGGTCATGCCCTGTCCTGCATGAAGGCTTTTTTTTCACCTGGACTAAACTATTCTGCCAATTGTGACAACAATCTTTGTTCCAGCATTTTTATATTGTAACTGTAACATTTTTCATTCTGCAATATAGAACCTTCCTATTTCTTTTACACATTTCATTGATCAGATCATCACAGAGGTGGGGTGTTTAACAGTTTGCATGATGCAGTCCAATAAGTATTTTTTCCCTTTTTTTCTTTTTAAAACTTAAAAGTACTCTTGCCGCTAAAGCATACCTTCAAATATTATACAAGGATTGTTAAGTGAATATTGAATGAATATTTAAAGTTTAGTGTAAGAAAGTGGATATTTTAAATTCATCTAAATTAATTTTATTAATTACCAATCATATGTTAAATTCCTATACTTTTTTGTCCACTCAAGCATTTTTTG